AAGGGACGGGATGGCTGTATTCACCGGTTTTGGTCCATACCTGCTATGCCAAACACGAGAAGGGGTCTCTGGTGGCCGAATTTGGTAAAGAAATGCTGGTGGTGAAGGAATCACAGTGGTGAACTGGAACGACTGTGACAACCAAACACAAAAAACCCCAAATATTGGAGTTAAAAACTTGAATAATCACTAACAAAATATTGAAAATAAAGGATCAAAAACACAACTTGTTGCTCGCAGCCGACAAAATCCACCGATTTTTGTGTTCACAGGTGGAGAGAAAAAGGGATGTCCACTGCTGCAAATGACAACGTGAATGTATCTTCTTTAAGGGTAAATCCATATTCTAACGACTAATCGTCGGTATAGTTATTTCACTCGGATCGCCACGTGGCATGCCGACGGCAAGTCGTCGGTACAACTTTTCAAATTTGACGTCGTTTATGATTTCTACAATAGGGAATAAAAATAAATGAAATACAATTTGTCGTACCCTATGGGGACGACATGTCGTCAGCATCGATTTTCAAAAGACCACAAAAAAAGGTCATGGTTCCTGCTGTATCTATGGCGACGACATGTCGTCGACACAGGTTTTAGGTCAAACAATTTTGTCAAAGTTGGCAAAAGCTATAGCGACGACTCATCGTCTGCATGTTCCTTCTTTTCGCAATGACGCCGTCGTCGAGATAGGTGTCGTCGCCATAGATTGTTATTCATATATATATATATATATATATATATATATATATATATATATATATATATATATATATATATATATTATAAAGCTAACATTTTTCTTTTCACAACATTCATTTGAAACTCCCAGGACTTTTCAATTTCTTTATAATAATGGTTATAAGTTGGTTAATAAGATTAAATAAATATCAAACATAAAATGTAATCTTATGCAAAGTAAATTTCAATATTAAAAGAATATCTTTACTTTTACTTATAGAGTTTTTTTTTTTTTTTTTTTTTTTTTTTTTTTTTTTTTTAACTTTTAACATATTATACTTAATTTATTAGTTTTAATATATTGTTGGGTGTAAACCATTATCATTTTAAAACTATAACTTTTGAATAATTTATATAAAATACTTAAATTATAAATTTAAATAAAACATTATAGGATCAACTTAAATATAAATTTTAGTTTAAGTTAAATAAACCAAATAATATTTTGTAAATAGTTAAAAGTGATAAATTGTAGTGTCTTTCTAATAATGATTATAAGTTGGTTAATAAGGTTAAATAAATATGAAACCAATAGTGTAATCATAAATAAACTAAATTTCAATATTAAAATAACATCTTTAGTTCTACTTATAAAGTTATGTATTTAATTTTTAATAGATTATACTTAATTTGTTAGATTAAAATGTTGTTGTATGTAAACTATTATCAATTTAAAGCTAAAACTTTTGAACAGTTTTGATAAAATATATAAATTGTTAATTCAAATATAACATTACAGTATCAACTTAAATATAAATTTTAGTTCAACTTAAAAAACCTAATAAATATTTTATGAATAGTTAAATGTGATAAATTGTAGTGCTAAATGCAAAAACTGAATTATAATCTCAATTTAACTAAAATATTTCCTAAAATTATTTGTATAATCATTAAATGATTTCAAATAAGTAGTTTAAAATAACTTACAATAATAATAGTTCAATATAATTCTATATAAATGATTATATTATTACCTTTAAAATCAAAAAACAATGTTTGATGTTTTAAATAATTATAATGATATAAATTAAAACGTTATATTTAATTTTATTCATGAGTAACTCGCGGGTAAAAGTCATTTAAACGGTTGAGATTATCTAGTTATAATAGATGTATATATTATCATATAATTCAAAATAATCAATATATTATACCAATTTATTATATGAATTATTATATCAAATTTAACAACAAAGTTATTGTTATATTTAAAAAAAAAACATATGTGTAAAAATTTCAACTATATAAGTGTTTATGTGCAACGCACGAGTATTCGCCTAGTATATATATATATATATATATATATATATATATATATATATATATATATATATATATATATATATATATATATATATATATATATATATATATATATATATATATAGGGTTAGGTTATATTGTTTCTGGTAACTATTGTGTGCCAGAATACACAGATCTGGACCACTAGATGAATAAAATCAACAGTCATGATCTGAGGGTCTATGATATTACCATAGGGTAGTATGTATCATATAATCATACAAATTTCAGCAAAAGGGTACGTTGGTCAATTAACCTATTTTAAAAAAAGAAATTTTCGGATTTTAAGGGATCATTAATTCCCTTATTTTTTTAAAAATCTGAATTTTTTAAATTAATTCTAATTAAATTTTAATATTATTTTTAATAATAACCAATTTTATTCTGTCAGAATGACAAAAAGTCAACAGTAAACTAGTAAATATATTTGCGGTTTTATTCATGCAGAATATTATTTCATTCAATATACTTTTTATATTAAACATACTTAAAGAATTATATAACATATTATCAAGAATAACATTTTCTTGATAATAACATCATTCTGAAAGAATAACAAGTAATTCTTAAAAAATAACAACATTCTTAAACAATGAGTGTGATCATTCTTTAATTCATTTTTCAAGCGTTTCCCATCAGATCTTTTAAGCCATCTTCAAACCATTTCTATCACAAATTTATTGCCAAATATTTTGTAGTGATACACTTGTAACAACTGCACATTAAACATATAAATAATTAACTACAATTCTATCAAAATACATCAATAATATTCTTTACAGAATAAACTATTCTTGTTGAATGGTTTTGAATATTCTTAAAGAATTTGTATTATCAAGAATATATCCAACGAACAAAACATTTGAAATATAAATACATGAAAAGATCATGTTAACACAAAATGTGACTAAAAAATAACATTCTTTGTTGAATATTCTAACAGAATAATATACTTGTTGCATAATATTCTTAACATTATTTCTTGAATATTCTAACAGAATAATATACTTGTTGCATAATATTCAGAAGCCACAAAAGCTTAGCTTTCATATATAAAAAAAGATAAAAAGATTGCTTAATTTGTTGATTTATACCTTTGTTCGTTTTCCTAAAAGGATGGTATGCAGTAAATCCAAGTTTTCATCAACTTTCCTCTTGGACAACTTGTAAGCCACTGAAACAACATTAAAATTGAGATTTCCATAAACAACATAAAGATATATAACTATTCTTTGTTGAATATTCTAACAGAATAATATACTTGTTGCATAATATTCTTAACATTCTTTGTTGAATATTCTAACAGAATAACCGATATGAAAAAACATATCAAACTTGCCTCTTTTACACAAAAAATTTCTCTTTTTGACATTATATCAAACACTTGGAAGACATGTTTTATTATCAAACACTTGGACAACTTGTAAGCCACTGAAACAACATGTAAATTGAGATTTGCATAAATAACATAAAGATGGGATAAACAAATGGGAAATAGAGGCTATCGAGGCTTCAATGATCACGGAAAGCAACCAACATAAATAGCAGAGGGAAAAGAATCGGAATTCACAATTAAAAGCTACTCCGGATTAGGGCGATGGGAAATCGAGTTCAAATGAAATTTATACCATCAAATTACTTCTCATACCGGCTTTGAAGAGTTTGAAAACAAAATTTGGCATCTATACTTCTCATACCTGAATCAACAATCTAAGGGACGATCACGAGAATTCGAGGTTTGTAAAGCAAAATCAACCAGTGTGGTAAAGGTAATTGGATGTGCATAGCAGGGTGGTGGCGGTGTTGACTTTTTACCTCTCTCCCACTCGATCTTTCTCTGTGGAAACGGTGCATCATAAGTGAGGGTCTTCAATGGCGATGATAAAAAGCCCATAGAGCAAGAATAAAGCCTCATGGAAACTATTTTACCGTCGATTCTGATTTCAAAAAGGAACTGTTTTAATCGAAAAAGGAGATGGAAGATGGTCGATTGTAAAATCAGAAATTAGCAGGAGGAAATTTACGGTCGATTGTAGAGATTGAGTTTACATATTCGATTTCACCGCATATGTTGCGACACCATCATCGTCGGTGCAAGGGACCAACACCAGAAAAACGAAGGGATTGGTGGCTGCAGGTGGAGGGTCGTCGGTGAAGAGGGTGTTTACCAGGATCGAAAAGAGAAGAACACAATACCCTAGGATGAAGGATTTTTTGCTTGGGTGGAAGTCGGCATTTTATGATGACGATGATGAAACGAACGATAAATTTTTAAGGGTTTATAAACTAATTATCTTGATTAAATGCTATTAAAGGGAAATTGATCCATTATTTTAAGGATTATAATTTTGGAATATAATTAATTGTATATACATAATGACTAAATTACCCTTTATTATTTAATTAATGATTTATTTTTTCCTAAATTTAGGTAAACAATATTTGCTAGAAACATTTGAACCTACATATATATATATATATATATATATATATATATATATATATATATATATATATATATATATATATATATATATATATATATATATATATATATAGGAGTAGGATTAAATGAGAACATCAAAAAGGTTGAGAACGCGAGAACAAAGTATATTCATTTGCGATTCCATGTATATATTTGTGGAGAAATAATAAAATTTTACGCCTTTAATTTCAATTGAAAAGAAAATGCATATATTCATGTTGATTGTGCATAAAAATTTATCATTTCTCCACCAATGAATACATGGAATCGCAAATGAATATACTTGTTCTCGCGTTCTTAACCTTTTAGATGTTCTCATTTGATCATTTCCCTATATATATATATATATATATATATATATATATATATATATATATATATATATATATATATATATATATATATATATATATATATATATATATATATATATTAGTTGGTTAGTTAGTTGAAGAGGTAAGAAAATATATAAGGACACTGCTTGTTATCTTTTCTCCATTAACACAAGTTCAACAACACATCAAGCATACCCATCGACCAAACAAAAGACCCGAAATAAAAACAGCAAAAGAAGCAAGTAAACACACTAAAAGTGCAAACAAAAGACTTCAACCCAAGATCTCAAGGGGTGAAACAACAGAAATTCTTAAAGTTGTAAGCCTTAAAGTTTCAGACAGATCATCATGTCCTACGAGGATCAAGAACATTAATGTTGTTTGTCCTTTGTCTTTTAACACTGCCAGAAGAAGATTCATGATCGCCGTTTGTTTTCTCCATCACCGCTTTGAATGCTTCTTGGATCATGCCTATTGAGTAATTGACGCTATCATTGTTGCTAGTCGAATCTTGATCTCCAGTAATAAACAAGACGTTCTTCACACGCCCTCCAAGCGTTGTGATCTCAGCTTTTAGGGTTCTTAGACGAAGAGCTTTTAGGGTTTTAATGAGGTCCGGTAAAAGATCCGATCGGTCGTCACAGCATAATGATGCTCTGATGACTATATTGCCATCTTCGTCAGACGTGTTGTCGATGGTCAACTCATCGGTTTCTGTAGGGACTGGACTTTGTTCGGCTATTATGGACGTCTGACGCTTTAGCTCTTTCACATGCTGTATCACTTCAGCTAACAACGAAGCCTTGTCCGTCTGTATCAGTTTACACAAACCGTTATGACGTAATGATTATTAATCGTTCAATATATTTTTAAAGCTAATTAGCGTTTATATATGCTCATACATTTATATACTAGCTCGTTGTATATGCGATTCAGAATATGTTTCCTAGCTACCGTTAAACCTTGGGCATTTATTGCGCACAACTACTGTAAGCATATATATGGCTTTTGCTACGAGAAATATATACTTGAAAACCAAACTAGGAAAAGGTTGATTTTTTTTACGTTGTCAGTCTATTGATGTATGCCTGATGTGATACATGATATTTCCATTGGTTGGACATGAACTCAAGTTGCTTTTAATTCCTCACGTATATTCGAAGTCAAACATTATGTGCATGATCATATGATGCTTATCATGTCATTTATGTGTCCCAGTAAATGTTGAAGAATAATTTCAATAAATACATATGTATATAGAATAAAAATAATGTTCCTAAAGACATCAATGGTGGGGTTTGTGATTTGATATAAACGATATGAATGGCATGTTGTGTCATATCAACGTTGATGAATTCTGAGATACGAATATAATTTATTTTCAAAAATCATATACAGAATTCCAAAATGAAAAACCCATGGAAAAATTTAGTGTTTTTTTTTTTTTTAAAAGACCAAGAGAGGAGAGGATTTGAACCATGAATTTTGATATGAATGACGATGTTTAGAGTTGCCAGTTAACTTGGTGGTATTGTTCTATGGTATATAATAAAACAATCAAACTTGTCGTCTGCGAGTAACTGAATTTTTCATGCAGACAATCACAAAAGTTGAGAACAGAAACCATTATTTTAAAATTTTGATGAGTTGCATGCTGTAGCGATTGATATTTCGTAGCTTGTTTATGGTTTTACTAAAGAATACTTACTTTGGTGGTACTGGGTAGTAAGCTTCGAAGTTTGGCAAGATGATTATTGATGCGCTCTCGACGTCGTCTTTCAGCTTCACTGTGGCTCTTCGAAGCTGCTAAAGCTTTAGCGTCCATGATCTCTTGAGATGTCATCTTACCCATTTCAGCTTGGAGCCCAAACGGCATAGACCCAGGCTGAACCATCTGGCCCAGTGTCTCGGATATGAGCCTTAGGTGGTGGTCTGATGAAGCTGATGTACTACCCTCGTATGCAAATTGCAAGCCACTAGGTACCCTCCTATGAATCAAACCACCATAAGATGACGGCGGAGGTGGTGGCGGTGGAGGGAAGAGATATGTGCCATGGTCTCCGGAAGGAAAGGTAAGATCCGGAGTGTAGCTGGAGTTGTGGTGTTGAAACACTTGAGGTAGAATCCAAGGCTGCTGTTGTGAGTGCAAGATCGGAGAGACTTCTGATGATGCCGAATATGAATAATCATTGATACCCATATTTTGATCTTGAATCTGTTGAATGATTGATGGGTATTCTTGAAATCCTTGAATATTTTGCAAATCTTGATGATGATCACCTTCTTCTTCTTGTTCGTCTTCTACTGGTTCTTGTTCTTCTCTCTTAGAACGCATAATAGTTTTGACTTACCTCCCCACACAACTATATCCTCTCGACATACATATTTACAGCAATCCACATACTCATCAAAATTAATTTTAGAGGAAAAGACTTTGGGGGCATATGAATATGATCAACAGAGTGTTAATTAAATATACCTTCTGAATATAGTGAATGCTCTTGATCACATCACCTTTCTCTCTCTCTCTCTCTCTCTCTCTCTCTCTCTCTCTCTCTCTCTCTCTCTCTCTCTCTCTCTCTCTCTCTCTCTCTCTCTCTCTCTCTCTCTCTCTCTCTCTCTCTCTCTCTCTCTCTCTCTCTGTATAAGACCTTGGTCTTTTAATGATCACTTTCTATCTTTGAAATGTCAGGTTTTGTTGAGTGAGACGGGGGTGCCATTGATCCTTGAAACAATCAAGTAGAAAACACTTTTTTGTGCTAAAATTTTGTGGTGGTCTTTTAGGGTTTCCTTTTTGTTTTTCTCTCTCCTCTCATGAGAGAGTGAACACTTGTTACCTTTCCTTTCTTCCTACGATATTAACTTTTAGCTTCCTTCACTTTTTGGTTCGCATTAATGATTTGAATTATATTTATACTATAATTTCTATTGCAATAGTTAGGAAAAACAAAAATTATTTAATTTGACCGTAAATAGTAAAGAACTGTAAATACAAATGCTAATAATTAAGTCACTATCATTGTATGAAAGACAAATGCAATGTAAAAACTGCTAGATACTCGTATAATTAGTTGCGGAGCTGAACGAAATATTATTGGTAGCACATGTAGGTCTGGCAATAGAGCAGGTTTTGACTCTAATCCGATTCAAATCTTTAATAATTATCCGGGTTTGGAGCATAGTTTTTGATCTATTTACCCGTTAACGATCCGTATCCGCTAACATTTTTATTAAAAATGTTGGGTATGGATCATCACCGATCCGCTCCATTTATAACCCGTCCCATATAAATTTTAGAATTATACATTTATATTTTATACTTCCTAAATTTTACTTTAAATTTCAATCAAAAAAGGCCGAAGACTAAACTATTTATACATAGGACTCGGGGACTCAACTTTTAGACTTTCAGTCTTCTTCCAAAAATCATGATGTCATTTCATTTACATTTCATCATGTAATCACCAACTTCATTTATAAATCAATAAATTTAATTCATTTATCATCTGGAAGAAAGTTTGTATTTGTTATTCTCTATCATTGTAGTCGATGGTCAAAAACCAATTGGAAGTAACTACAATAATGATTTTAATTTCAATCGAAAATCTTCAAGTACATAATGTGTTTTCTAAATAAACATTTGTTTTGTTTAACAAATGTGATTTTATGATTTAAGTAAAATGTGTTTGATTATTCAAAAAACCTACGAGTTACGCGACGGGTTTGGATATTTGCTTATTCAGTGGATAAGGGTATGTGTTTGATTATTCAAAACCCTGCGGGTTATGGAGCGGGTTTGGATCCGGTTTTGAAATTTGTTAAAAGGGTTTGGATCAAGGTCGATTCGCTCCAAACCCGCCCCATTACCAGGTCTAGGCACATGTAAATATTCGATTAGTGACCGAGCTAGATTGAAATGTTATATATAGGTAGCACACGTAAATATTTGAGGTAGCATACCGAAAAAATTACACTATACTAAAAATATTTTTAAAAAATTTACGATGTGTTTAAAAATTTGAGAGGTATCACTACAAGAAAATATACTCTTTAGCGGCGACACTATTACCGGCGACATGAGGCTTTACCGGCGATGAGATATCCAATCCAACGGGTGGGGTATGTTATCCAGTATAACCTAATACCGGCGACACAAAAGTCGCCGCTAAAGGTTAAAAAAAGTCGCTTCTAATAGTCCGCTAAAAATGACGAGGTATCCTTCCCTCCAGTTTGTCGCCGCTATTACTCATTATCGTCGGTAAAGGGTCTGGTGTCGCTGCTAAAGGTGTCGCCGCTATTACTCATTGTGTGTATGTGTATGTATTTGTATTTGATGTATATGTGGTATATGTATGTAAAAGTATGTGAATTTCATTTTCTTATGTATTATATAAAACTATGTGGTTTTGGTATAAGTAGGATGTTATAATTGAAAAAAAAAAATTATTGTTATAATTTGAAAAAAAACACAAAAAAATTATAAAATTATTTAAAAACTTATATACATAAAAACTAAGTATTGTTATAATTGAAAAAAAACATTATATATATATATATATATATATATATATATATATATATATATATATATAATTGTTTAAAAACTTATGTACAAAAACTAGAAAGTTTTAGTTTTTACCCAAACTAACTCCAAATTAATTAACCAATAAGTTATATAGTTAACTTATAATCTTCAAATTAGTTCATAAGATTATATTTCTATAACCAATAATAATCGGTAACCATAAAAATAGGATAAATGATGTTATGTATTTTAATCTCGACGGTAAAAAAGAACAACACAACAACATAATGTCTATTATAAAATTGTTTAATTAAAATTTTTAATTTATTTTAATTAAAATTAATTAAAAAATGCATAAATAAAATTTTTTATTTATTTTTATTTTTTTATTATTTAATTTTTGTATTATTTTAGATGTAAAAAAATGTGGGTTGGAAAAAAAAAAACAATGCTAATTTTGTATACTAAACTCTAAACCCAAAATTATGTTTCAGCAACATCATGTTTATTTATAAAACCTGGACTACTAATCCATATCGAAACCATCCCGAGTTCCAAGCAGGACTTGGACTTCTCGAAACCTGCACTTACCAAATCAACAATGACTCTAGTAACAGTTATCACATTTTCACACGCACATCTGATTTTACCATTACTATCAAGGTGTGACTTGGACTTCTCGATTTCACAGCCTTCGCAACCATCACAACCACCATCAGAACCATCACAGGTAAAATAGCAATCTACTTTAGCATCGTAAAATACATGTTGATTTGGTAGTTTTGGTTTTGTGGTGGTTATTTGCTAAAAAGTTTCGTAATTTGGTTTTTGTCCCAAGTGCAAAATATAGCAATACACTTTGGTTTTCTATCTTAGTTTAAAAATAGCAATCTACTTTAGCATCGTAAAATGCATGTTTATTTGGTAAGTTTTGGTTTTGTGGTGGTTATTTGCATATGTTGTCACGTTTTTCTACTTGGTAGATTGTAAAAATTTTGTTGTTTTGCTACTCGGATATTATGACTTTTGATATTTAATTGTATTTGGATGTTTGTTTGTAGCATTGACACTATTATGTTTGATATTTAATAGGATGTTTGTTTTGTAATTAGCATCGATACTATTGGTTTTGATATTTAATCGAAGATTGTTATTACCGGTGACACTTTTACCTACGATATTATCACCGGCAACCATCATTAATTAAAAAAAAATTAAAAAATTGAAAAACAATTATCGGCGACACTTTTACCGGTGACAAAAGTTATTACCGGCGACAGAAGTCATTACCGGCGACTAGCTTATTAGCGGCGGCAATACTCATTAGCGGCGACAGGGTCAATAGCGGCGATTTTTATCATTAGCGGCGACAAACTGATCAATAGGGATAAGGCAGTACCGGCGACAAGTCGCCGCTATTAGTATTACCGGCGACTTTTGGGACTTTTACCGGCAACTTTTATCGCCGGTAATGACTTTTTTCCTTGTAGATATCATGGGCTACCACGAACACCTACATAGCTCCTCCCCTGCATATAACGTTAATAATTATTAAATTTGCGTGTCAATAGTAGAGAATTATAAATACAAAATGCTTGTAAGTAACTATTATTGTATGAAAGATGATCATGCACGGTAAAAACTTCTCGACACCCGCTTGTTTTTATGGGGAAACTTGAATAAACACAAACATTGATCAATTAACTATGTTTACTACAAATCAGTTAATCAATTAATTCTATGTATCACTCACATTCAAAATTGGATTTGTATATACCAATATAATGCTAAGAATTATTCAATTTTACTCTAAATAGTAATGAATTGTAAATGGATGAAAGACAAACATGCAATGTAAAAACTTCTTGATACCCAAGTAACGCAACCGCTTAATTTTATAGGGAAACTTATATAAACGTAAACATTGATCAATTAACAATGTTTATTACAAATAAGTTAATCAATTCTTTTTAATTAACCTCGTCCTAAATTATATATGTATAACTAGTGGCAGACCTTAGTGGTGCCTCAGGGGTCTCGGGCCATTGTTTCGATGCCGACACGTATTGTAAATTTTTTTTTAATGTTTTTTCTATTAGGTGTACCGGTTTAAAACACGAGTGACACTACTAATATTGATTTATTTGGAAATTTTTTTTAATGACACCCCTATGAAATTGTTCTGCATCGGCCACTATGTATATATAACTGCTATTCAAAAGCTTTTTCTATTAAACTTCTTATTCCCATGTGTAGTAATAATGACTTTTACCTAATCGGTTATTATATAAACAAACTATTTTTTTTTTTAAATATAGCTCTACATAATTATCATCTCACAAATTATTTCATAAACAATATTTACTTTCTTTTCAAACAAAAACCTTATTATTTCCACTCATTATGATATATCATAGATGATATCGAACGAGGAAATTCATCAATAGCTTTGTTAGAATAAATCATACAAGCTTTTGATGATCAGATATTAGAGATTGCTCGTTGTTACACAGTTTCTACAGCCTTGTCGATGGCAAAATTTTTTATTTACAAGTCAATCTGTAACATTCTAAAATTCAAAGTAATATTTTTCATTTTTGAAACTAATCCAAAACCATAAGTGTTTACAAAACATAGTTTCCAAAAGTGATAAACATGAATCAGAGTATTCCAAAATCATAATCTTATAAAAATCTAGGATGGTGTGCATGATGAAGCATTCGCTTTGCCCAAATCTCTGAAGTACCTGATACCATAACAATCAAATTGTAAGTCAAAACTTAATGAGTTCCCCCCAAAACACCTCACAACAAAACATATACCAAACATATACTAGGTCCACAACCTCCTGGTTGGATTACCCCTAGCCCACAACGTTCCGGTTAGATTGCCATAGTCCACAACCTTTCGGTTGGATTGCCCAATACATATTATGTCCACAACCTCATGGTTGGATTACCCCATACCCAATACCTTCCGGTTGGAATGGCCTGGGCAACAACCTTTCAGTTAGATTACCCA